GTGAATTGGCTTGTTTTACAACGTCTTTGCCAAGCGACGAAAACCCAATCCCGATGGCAAACACCGGGAGGGGCGGCTTGTTTTACAACGTCGTTGCCAAGCGACGAAAACCCAACCCCGATGGCAAACACCGGGGGGGGCTTTTTGGGGGGGGTGGAGCATTATCTGTCGGTCCCCCGAATTCCCATCTGGGAAAATTTTCCGTAACAACTGGCCTAAGGACGCACATATCTACGGACGCACATGGTTTTTCCCTCTAGGAAAGTGTTCTCAACCGAGGTTTGACCTGTAAGGGAGGCTCGAACAATTGTACACGGTGGCAAGAAATAACAAGATACATGCTGAGTATCTCTGTGCTCTCCGTCGCTTGCTCGCTTGCTCTCGCCTTGCGTAATCGAAGAAGACCTGCCTCATGTGACGACAACAACAACAACAACAGGCCTCTAACGCTTCCGCACTTGCCCCCCCCCTCCCCCCACCTCCGGTCTGCCGCTGCCCTCCCGAAAATCCGCAAGTCGGTGGGAGCAGCAGGCACCTCCGCCATCGGAGGCGGCGCGGCACCCCTGTCTTTCGGGGGATTCGGCTCGACGACCGCCCCATCTCTTCTCGGAGCAGGAGCATCAGCAGGCTTGGGGCTGTCCGGTACCGGAGCTAAGCTTAACGGATCCACGGCGGCGGGGCCGGTGTTGTCGTTTGGAAGCTCCACGGGCAAGGCGGGGGCTTCGTTCTCCTCGTTTACTTCGTTCGCGTCGGCGCCGACGGCGGGTGGCGGCTGGGGAATCCCGGCGAAGAAGGACGGTGGCGGGAGCGGTGCCGGCACGGCGGACGGCGGCGGTGGTGACGGCGGCGGGAAGGAAGACGACGGAAAGGTTAGAGGACGTTGGTTGAATTTTTTCGAGGTGCCTGTCCGGGGGGGGTTTCCCGAATACCGTATATGACACAAGATAACATACCCCCTGGACCGATTTTCAAAGCTCGATTACTCCAAGTCGAAGATAATGCAAAAACGAAATGATACATTTTCGAAAAGCTCTCGACGAGACGGTTTCAACGCCGCCGTTTTCGGCGCTGTGACTGTTCCTGCAGTTGAGAAATCGAGCTTCGAAAATCGGTCAAGGGGGTGTGTTATCTTGTGTCAGATACGGTAGGCGGAATGAGTAAGGATGGTGAAATTGGCGGGCATTGACGGAAAAGTCAAGTTGTTCCACACGTTAAATAGGGCGACTGCCCATACAAGGCAGTAGTTATCAGCTGCCACACCCAACGCCTTATTAGTGGACGCCCACGGTATCGTACCGTGCTCCACGAACGGCGGTAGGCTGCGTCGTGTGGGGGGGGTGGTGGATGCGCGGTGTCTGACGCAGTGTGCGTTGCGGGTGGGGGGGTGGTACTAAACGGTTCTGGAGGTGTATTCTGGTCTCGTTTCGCGGGATCAATGTTGTCCCGCTTTTTTGCTCCTCCGGGGTGCTTGCTGTCGCCGAGACGGAAAGGTCGCGTTCCGTTTCTCAGCCATGCCTCCTTCTGTTTTTCATGGTTCTCTGCCGTCGCTGTAGTTCGGGGGGCCGGGGGGGGGGTCGAAGACGCGCGGTTCGAAAACGAAGACATCTGCATCATCACTTGACGTGGATTCAGGGCATTTACCCGCGAATGCTGGATTGTGTCCTGATCATACAAACTATTTGTTTTGTGTCTCCTTGATGCTGGACGGTACGGTAAGGCGGTCATCGTTTTGTGTCTCAATGGCTCATTTTGTTCTGCCCTGGCTGTGCCCACCCCCACTCCCCCGCCGCCGTGGCCCTGTTGTTCCTCCTCGTCGTGTTTTTGTTCTTAGGGGACAGCAAGCGGTACCTCAGCGACGGACGTCTCCACCAAGGCGCCGCGTGAGTAGCCTACCCCAACGGTTTGCAGTGCTTTTCGCGGTGTCCATGCTTCTCGCAGTCTGCTGTTTACCGGAACGTTGTGGTTCATTCCCTTGTCATGCCCGTTTGGGGATTTGTTGCTATTTGCTGGTGGTTGACAGGTCGTGGATAAGGTCGGGACAAGTGGTGGAATGGTGAGATTCCGCCGAGATGCTCTGCCGTTAAGCCTCCCACAGATGGATTAAGTTCTAAACCTTGCTTGGTGATGGACTCACACGCCAGCAGAGCAATATTAGTGATCCTCTTGTTTTCTCCCCTGCCAGACAGTTTTGTGTGCGTGTCTCGTTTGGCCGTTGAGATAGCGGTGACCTAAACCGGCGAGAACCAATAGGTACCTGACACCGGCACCTTGAACCCCCCCCCCCAACCCGATGCTGCCACCGCACGCTTTCCTCTTTCTTTGCACCTTGCTACTGCTGCTGCTACGGCGCGTATGTTGCGGGGGTTGCAGTGGAATTGATGGACCCTTCCGAAGTGATCAACGGAGAGGAGCTGGAGGAATGCACCCACAAGGCGAGAGGGAAGCTCTTCCGGCTGGTTAACAAGGAGTGGGCTGAGATGGGGATCGGCAACTTGAAGGTGAGAACAGGGGGAGGGGTGAGGGGCTTCGAGACGCACCTACCATGTTGTAGTCGGCAGGATGGAACGGGCCAGGCTTACGGTGGGTGGTAGACACGAACCAGGATATACGTTGGTTGCAAGAACATAGGGTGTAGGGCTTGGGAGCGAGCGAGTGTTGAAGACAGGGTCCATTTCTGGGAATGGTGGATACGTTGTAGTTCGTCCTTGTCTGTTGTGTTGAGATAGTTGGCGTCTTCTTTTCTGGGAAAGACGGGCGTGTCAACGGCCAAAGCGGATGTAGAGGCAGGTACGATTAGAAGCCCACCCTTGCACCCTGCGCCCCGCTGGTACGGCGGTGGTTTGGCGCTGGAGACACAGGCTCTGGTGGTGTTTGTGTGTTGCCTCGGGTGTCGTCGGTGCTGTTGTCATTGCAGTCGCCTGCTGCTGCGTCGTCGTCAGTGTTGTCGTCATTGTGTTGATGGTCACGGGTCAGTCGGGTTTTGGTCGTGGTGGGATTTCCAGGCGTCTTACGCACGTGAAACCCAAGTGGGGGAGGGGGGTGTACTCATAGTCGTGCATGCCGTAGTCGTCAGACCATTGACCTCGCATCTCTACAAAGCCGGGACGGAGCACGCCGGGTGCTCACCGGACCAGGCTCTCACATCACCAAGCGCGAAGCGCCGTGAGGTATTCGGCGAGTCGCATGAAGGGTGCGCTGCATCCTGCTAAGGGTGTTCGGCATCTTGTACTTACTTCCTTGCGTACGAATGACAGCTGCGTATGACTTAAACTATTTTCTGGTGCTTTCACTTCCAGAGCCAGTTAAAAGCACTGTATAACTGTCTCGAGGGTGCTTGACCATTTTAACACAACGTAGTGCGATCATCCCCCTTGCGTGGAGTGAGGGTTCTCGACCCCGCACAACATGATCTACTCGACCACCATTATGTTTACCGCCAAAAAAAAACAGAGGTAAAAAACAAAAAAACCCGGCAGACTGGTTGCCGAGTTCACGAAGTGACTTGGCTTGTTTTACAACGTCGTTGCCAAGCGACGAAAACCCAATCCCGATGGCAAACACCGAGGGGGGGGAGGTCAGAGGCGGGATTAAAATCAAGGATGGACATTTGCGCGTCCACGCACATGCTGCTGCACCTATTGGCGTTATTATCCTGTCTTGTAGTCGTGTCGGAATACACACAGCATAAGCGGAACTCCCAACAGTGGCGTATTATCTCGCCCCCAGTTGGACCCTTCTTTGGGCCGGGGGGGCTGGGCCGTGTCCATATTTCTTTCCCACAGGCTCTGCTGCCGATACGCCAGCTATACGTTTCTTAGCAGTTATTTCAGCTTGTCGCTCTTCTTCCTGGGATCTATGTTAGCTCTTGGTGAACCTAAACCTACCCAGAACGGTCGGGGCTCTAGGAGAAGCACCGCCCCCGTGTGAAGCTAGTCGGCTGCGCTTGGAGTCGACCTGTCCATCCCGCTGTGGTGTTGTGTGCCTGTAGTTCTTACCTCTGTGTAGGACCTTTGAAAGTACAGTAGGCGAACGTCAGCGCGATTGTCAAGAGCAGTGAGTGGGGGTGGGCAGCCCGAAGCCCAGGCCCTAGGCATCCTCCGTAACACACTCATAGCGGGCACGTTACAGCAGTGTAGTAGCAAGAACCGTCAAGCACAGGTTTGTCATTATCTGGGTTAGATGTTGGTGTAGGATCCACCGCTGACCTGCTGTGTTGTTCATGGTCCTATCGCTTGCTTTTTTTGACATGTTGGAACCTCTACATCATGGGTTTTTTTTAATCGGAGGACCGACCTGTGTTTTCGCTTTGGAATAATCAGGTGCTCCGAAGCGCGGTGAGCAAGGATGCAGACGGTTCCGGCGATGCCAACCCGGAAGAAACGAAAACAAGCGCCGCCGCCACGGCTCGCCTGGTTATGCGAAGGGAGGCGGGGCAGCAGGTGAGGGGACACAGAGGGCATGGGGGGGTTGGGCGTCGACTCCACCCTGACCCCTGTTGTGTTGTGTGTTTTTATTATTAGCATCGACCGCGCCAACCGGCTGACCAATGAAAAGACGTCAGTTTTAGAGCGGTTGAAAACACAGAACACTTCTGTTTGTGTGTGTGTGTGTTTTTCGATTACCATCCGGGAAATGTAGTCGTTGCCGCTGGCAAACTAGTTCCCCGTGTTACGTGCTGATGAACCTTTTGACGATGCATTTCATGCGTGCTTACGTACTCTACCGCTGCGTCAAGCGTTGCGTGATTCTTTTGTCCACCAGCAGCATTCTTTTCTCTCTTGTACCGCTTCACACGCTCTGTTGCCTGCACAAGGATATTATTCTCAAGGGATGCTTGAGGGTATGCGTTCCACCTTGGTTGACCCTTGGGACTACCCGTCCTCATTTTTTTCTCATTTTTCGCTAGATCCTCGCCTGATTGTGACGCCCACCTGTACCAATGGTGATACAGCTGAGGATGGATGGGATACGGTAGCCCGTGTCCCGTCCTTTGGTGGGTGGAATAGCCGGTGTCCCGTATTTTTCTTCGGATGTTTCGTTCGTCTCTGCATGCGCCGACTCGGGTGTGTCTGCGGCGTTCCTAGAGTCTCGTCTCTCCTCCTCCTGCTCCTGCCGCTGTCACTGATGCCGCCTTTCTCCATCGGCGCGCGTGCCTCTACACACTCCACATGTGCCGCGTGTGCCCAGGTGATGATCAACGTGTCCCTCCAGGCCCAGACGAAGTGCTCCATGCAGGGCGAAAAGGCTCTTCTGCTCACGTGCTTCACCGCCGACGGCCCGGCAACCTACCTTCTCAAGGTACGCTATGCAGGCAAATGTATTGTAGAAACAGATGGGGGTACTGTAGGATGAGCGGGCGCCGAGTAATCGGGCGCTAAAAATCGGTTCACGGGAGATCGTATGCCCAACTACGGTATGCGGGTAGGTACGTAAACGGACTGACGTCAGGTACTCCGGGGGATGCAGCATCTGTTTGTGATACGATGTGTAGGGGAAGCGTGAGGCTTGTCACGATAGTGTGAGTGTACACCCCTGGTTGACTGCTCCCGTGTCCCTCAACCCCTCGCCGCCGGCAACTCTGCGACTAATAGGTGAAAACCCCGGAAGTTGCGAGCGCCCTCAAGGCGTCGATTGATGTGCTGCTGCCGCCGCCGCCGTCGGAGGAGAAGAAGGAAGGATCGGCCGTGTAGGATACAGAAGAGGTTTTGAGACCGTCAGTCGCTTGAGCAAGCTTCCCATACTGTTTTTTACACTTAAGAGGCGGCCTACATGTGCTGCTTTTGGCCTTTTGGAACTCGCCGCTCTTGTTTGGCAGCTTTCGAGACGGTGCCGTGTTTTCTCGCTGTTGAGGAGCGGCACATGGATCCCCCCCCCCTATTGTCTTTCACTTCCACGCGCCCCCCCCCCCCTTTCTTTTCCTGCTAGAGGAGAGAAAAAGCGTCTCATGCACGTTGGGGGTGGCGTGTCTCCAAGTAGTTCCAGTATTTCTCGATTTTTCGTTCGTTGCCTTTGTTCTTGCCTCAATTTATTTTTGTTCGTTGTCTCGAAGTCGCTTCCAGCCTTTCGTGCTGGCGTTTTGATCATCTGCTTGCTGCCTTTTTTTTTTTCACGCATCGGTGGTCTCATGGTTTTTGTTGTTTTCCCCCTTACTACACGGCGGCAGCGGAGCTGAATGGTGGTCTTTGATAGGACGCGTGTGTGGCAGACGGTGTTGATAGGTCGGCAGGAAGTGAGTGCCGTTGCGTCCGCCTTCTTTGCCTCTCAAAAAAAAAAAAATGTCCTGAACACGAAGTCCGCGGGGGAAATGCGGCGCGGCTGTTGTTCTCAGTCGCTGTGTCTTGAAGAAGTGTCGCAGTAAATACGCCGATTGCGTTTTTTGCTGCACACTTGTTTTTCGGCGGCGACGGCGGCGGCGAGGTTTGGTTTGCAGGCAAGAGTGCGGGAGGAGAGAGATTGGTGGGAGAAATGGGATCCGGAATGCCCTCGCCTGTCTGGCCTTGTCACAGCTGCCGCCCCGAACTTCTCCTAGTCGGCCTTATTCCATTCATCGGTTGGTGTCGGTTTGTCGTAATGCCAGTTGGTGTCGAGTTGCGGATTATTTTGCCCCCGCTTTGTGTTGACGGTGTGTCTCCAAAAATTAAGACCCGGTGAGAAATCCAACAAGGTGGCAATGTTGAATGTTCCACGCCGGCGGTGAGTTTCCTTTCTTTTTGTTGTGGTCGTTTTTCAGTGAGCAACTGTATCTGGATTCGCGGTTGGTATCATGCAGGGCTACGATAAAAGGGTTTTGGGGCCGATGATATGTGCGAACAGGAGGCCGTGGCCGTTTGTATGTGTGCAGTTCAAATAGCTTGTCGAGGCTACGGTAAGAGGTCCGGCGAGGGGCGAACATGAGAGTGAAATGGAACAGTGTGAACATGGCAAACGTCAGTTTTTTGTGGTAACAACCCATAGAGCAGCGCATGAGAGATCAGCATTGGAGTTTTTGCGTCGACGAAGGTGTAGCGGGGCGTTTTGGGTATGGCTTTGGTGGTTGCAGCAGCAGCAGGCAGCAGCAGCACTACATGTAGTAGCAGTACTGTTACTTTTGTCCCGCACGTCAAGCATTACCACAGAACTCCACATGCGATGTCTTGATTCCCTGAGTTACAGTAGTGACTGCAATGGGCACCGCCCTATGCCAATGAGATGGTGCTATTTAGCCACGTCCTTGCGTCACACTTGGGTTAGGGCTGCAAGGCGATGCAACATATGGCAAGGGGAGCACCAACAGTAGTGCTCTCCCACAGCTTGTGGGAGCAGTTCGTCACTCACCCATTTATCTTCTCGTACTGTGAGCGTGATGCGAAGCAACCTCCTTAACTGGGCATTAATGTGGCGTTGCAAGTCGTAGATCTGGTAGATGTAGCGAATGGGAAAAGGAGAGGGGGAGAGCAGGAAAGTAGAGGTAGGTTTTATCGCCAACAAGTTGGCCGGCTAAAAATCGTGCGCGTGGAGAGCTATCGCCCACTTGGATTAACCACGACCGACTCTTGTTTTTTTCTTTCGGAAATGTCTCCGGTCAAGGATTGCGAGAAGAGACATGCACTTTTTTTTTACGTGTGCTATGGAGTCAGTCCCATCCAAGAAATCCGACGATAGGCGTGAATGAAGTGTTTCTTGTCGAGGTGTGAACGGAGTTCCTAGAAGTTGGTGGCGGTGTGGTTTTCTCTTTCCGACGGGTGGCGATGAGTAGGGTGGTTTGTGGCATTGGGGGAACCAGACTTCGAATGCGGCGATAGAGCGCATTCACGTTCAACTACTTTCCAAGCTGAAGACGACGTTCGGGTGTAGATTACGCGATCTGATGAGTGTTTTTCCTTCTTTTCTTCCTAGAACGCAAATGAATGGGTGTGCAACCGTGGCAGCGTCAGATGTCTCGTCTTGCTTCGCACTCCCCTGCCTATAGCTGTTGTTGGACTTTTCATCCTGTCAACGATTGTAGCTCGTCGTTCCCGCCAATTTTTGCGTAGCATCTCCATCGCGGACGGACATGGATTGAGTAAAACCCTTGCATCCCACCCTTCCTTCCTCCGATGGGCAAGAAACGCGGCGTTGGCATCCTCTTCCCCCTATCTCTCACTCCACAACCGAAAGAAAGCAAGAAGCAAACGTCTTCCCGCGGAGTAACCGACACGTCGGAAAACATCAGGTAAATCCCTCGACCCTTCTTCGAAACAACAGGTTGAAGTTGAAGCGGAGTCAGGGCGCGGTAGTGATCTCACGAACCCCCCCCCCCCCCCC